AGTTTAACGGGCATTTTCGGGTACAGATCCAGTAACAAGTGCTTCACCATCAGAGGATAATATGCGACACTTCAATGTGATGATCCTTGGCCCCACGGAGTCTCCACATGAAGGTAGTTGATATTTTCATCAAGTAGTTGCTAATAGTAATGCAATGTGTTGAAAATGAATCATGTACTGGTTGAGAGTAAGTCATAAAGAGCTTAAGATTGCCGAGTTCCAGTCTTCAAGATGATTTGGATTTGGTTGCTTAAATGCCTACTAGAATCCAAAGATGATAAGCTTCCCTTCATATAATCCACCATTCTTAGGCCTGTAAACGAATCGAACGCACACGAACGGATGTATGTTCATGTTCGTTCATTTAATAAATAAACGAACATGAACATAAACGAACAAATTTATTTTTGTTCATGTTAGTTCATTAAGGAATATAGTTTGTTCATGTTCGTTCATTTAAATGATAAACGAACATAAACGAACACAAACAAATGAACATAAACGAACATAATAAATGTACATAAACGAACACAATAAACGAACAACACTAACACAAAAAACAAACTTATTCAAACACAACAAATAAATGTAAAAAAAAAAAGTAAACAAAAAGAATAACAACTTAAAATTCATTAATATAACCTGCAACTTTAGAGTTAATTTATTCGAATACAATAAAAACATGCATAAATCATAAATAAACTATATGAACCTAATAAAATCTTAAAGTTAATTTGTTCAACAAAACAATCTTCTTGAAATCCAAACAACTTAAATAATCTTCGTAATATATTCAACTTGCCCTCTGTTCGAACATAAATGAGCGAACATATAATCGAACTTTCATGAACGTAAATGAACGAACGAGCCCTTTGTTCGTGTTCGTTCGTTTAATTAAACGAACGCAAAATCTTGTTCATGTTCGTTCATTTAATAAATAAACGAACCCCACGGTTCATGAACAGTTCGTTGAATGTTCAATTCATTTACAGGCCTAACCATTCTTATCTTCCCTGAACTTTTTGCAGTCAAGGAATGCACCCGTTTATATGCAAGTGGTGCATGAAGAATGGTCAAAATGATTCGCCCTCTTAAAATAACATCTTATGCAATGTAAGCTGATTGATGTTGAAATAATATGGAAATTTGGAAGAATTTATGTTTGAAAAGTGTTTGATATTTTCACAAAAGGGTTCCAGTTGCTACCTGCTTATCCGTTTTCCGGATGGAAGCAGTCTCTGAAGTTCGATGCATGCAGAGAGGAATAGTCAAGCAAAGAACTTTATGGTTTGTAAATTTGGTAATGGCAGTGGAACTTTATGGTGTGAAGTGTGAACCAAAAGAAAGAAGCAAAGAACTATTTGGGGGGAAAGCAGAATCAGCTTGATACTAAACCAGATCGAACCCGGGATCTTCTTGAAAACGGGAAGATCTAGGATAGGCAGCAAATGTTCAGAGTAGGCCTGTAAATGAACTGAACGTTTAGCGAACCGTTCATGAATCGTGCGGCGAGAAATTCGTTTATATGTATTTATTTATTAAATGAACGAACATGAACAAGATTTTGTGTTCGTTTAATTAAATGAATGAACATGAACATAGGTCTCGTTCGTTCATTTACGTTCGTGAACGTTCGGTTATGTTCGTTTATATTCGTTCGATTATGTTCATTCATTTATGTTTAACCCAATCTTCTTAAATCAATTTTGGTGACCAATTTGTAAGTATCTTAAAAATATTAATTAATATGATATTTTGATGATCAATTCCATAATTAACCCAATTTTATATGGAGATTAAATTCAATATGTTAACCCGTGAGGCACCTCGCACATATATTCATTTTCCCCTTTTTTTTCCTAAACCCTAATGTTCACTAGAGAGTGAAGACGATCGTTGAAAGCTTCAAAACAATTTATATTATAGTGCAATCTGAAATTTTACAAGTATGTTTTCATCTCTTTCTCTGTTTTATTTAGTTTAATAGTTGATATGTAAAGTTATTGCAGGCATCTTCACATCTAAAACTCAAGAAAACATCATACTTCTTTCTAGAAATAGATGAGAAGATAAAGGTAACAATCGGAAGTATATGAGTATCAGTAAAGAGAAAAATATATAGAATTTGTCAGAAAACAAAACAAACGTTTTTATGCAATTTTTGCAAAAGAGTGTAATAGCGAAAGTAATGGGTTTTCCAAGAAGAACCCATTAATAAGTAGAAAATACACTTTGACAATAAACTTTTGTTTTCATAGTTCTTGTGTGGCCTTTAGTTCTGGAGTAGACTTTAGGTACTTTGACAATGGTGGTTTAATATCAATTACGATATGTAGTATCGAAGGGATTTTAGATCTATGTTATTGTCTTGTAGTCCAATTTGTACCGTTCGAAATCTTCATGCTGTTAAATTTTCTACTCTGCCAACGGAAAGGACCATTATTAACAAACCTAACTGAAGTCTGACATTGATGTCACAAAACTTTTACCCGGGGAATTTATTAGAATAACGTAGTGGAAAATAATTGTTCATATGTAATCATGGACTACTAAGATAAATGTTATATCATTAAATTAAAGTCGTGTGAATCATTTAATATATTTAAAAGATCGATCGAAATATTTGATATCTTTAAACATTTCATTACTGCTAATCAACTCTTACGCTATTTATCACTGTAGATTTTGTTGATTTACATTGTCGACTATTTTTCATGAAAGAACAATTAAAGGTAGGGTCTCTAACGTTTATGTTCGTGTTCGTTTATGTTCGTGTTCGTTTATGTTCGTTTATTTATTAAATGAACGAACATTAACAAGTTATATTCCTTAGTAAACGAACATAAACAATTTGTTTATGTTCGTGTTCGTTTATGTTCATTTATTTATGAAATGAACGAACATGAACATACTTCCGTTTGTGTGCGTTCGATTCGTTTACTGACCTATCCAGGAGAGAGCGATATGCATGAACCAGGTGAGTAGGGATGCAGTTCTGTGGACCGCTCGTCGACAGGCCTTTTAAAGTTCCAAAAATGGTACAAAGACGGCTATTGCCATCTATGTACACATCATTTTCGCCCCTCAAAAGCCACGGAGAAGTAGCAGAGTGGAACAACTAAGAGAGTTGGGGAAATGATGTCTGCATATATGGCATAACCGTCATTGTCCCTTCTTGAGTCGCATTTTCCATGGATGCCGCTTTGAAGACTGAAGAGTTTTTGTAGATGTATGAGTTATAAGATTGAGAAATGTAGGTGTGACTTGCAAAGGGTGATGGGAGGGAGTACATATATGGGGCGGGGGGAAATCTTGTAAAATCACAGCGACATCAATATACGGAGCATGTGAGGGGCTTCAATGGGAGATTTGACGTGTTGCAGATTGCTTTTTTGTGCTTCTGGCTTCATCTTTCTTCTGTTGGTACAAGTCTGGCAGCTTTAATAATTTAATCGAGAGAACTTATGAAGCAACTGCTTCGGCAAATTTCTGTATCGCATGCCCAGATTTACCACTCTTACCAAAAGTGGAAATGGAGATTGAGAAAAGACAATTTTCTTGGGTAAACTATATGTTTAGGACCTTAACTAAACTATCTTAATCTGTTTTAGTCATTCAATTATTTTTGTTTCAAAATCATAATTAATATTATGTTTTGGTTTTATTTTAGTCATTCAGTGTTAATTTTAACATGTCATCGTAATGAGATATCACGTTATCACTAAAAAAACATTAAATATCACTTCTGTTAATTTTTTAACGCCAAATAACTAAAAAAATTAAAGCTTTACATTAAGTATAATTTTGAAATAAAAATAATTTGATGACCAAAATGAAATAAAAGTAATAGTTAGAATACTAAATTTATAATTTACCCAATTTGTTCTACTTCCGAATAAAATAAAAAAGAATCTCTTCTCGTGATACATCCCTCGCTAGTTGCTACAGAGTGACAACTTAAATTACGAACATAATGGGAAAATTGGGTATGCAAATTTCTCTATACCATCTTCTCTGTTGAAATTTTATTAGAAGTTTTTATATTATATTTAAAAGTTCATTTTAACTTTTTATTGTAAAAATAAATATTTTAATTTATATTAAAATTAATTTTATTCTTTTTACTATGTAAAAGATTATTTTGAAAAGTGAATATTTTGATTTTTTTGAAGCTATAGTTAATTAATTTAAACATCTTAATTTAAACACTTTTTAAGATTTTTTAAAAAAAATTAAAATTAAATAATTTCACTCCTTTTGAAAAAAATAATTTATTCAATATATATTTTAAAAGTGAGTAAATAAGAACGATTTATGATGATGTTGACAATTTCCGTCAATATACGACATGTTTAGTTGTGATTGAATAATTTATTCATAAAAAATTATATAAAAAATTCACAAAAAATTAGTTTGAGAGAGATTAATCTATTCAAGTTAAAAATTGAGAGAGGTCAAAAGAGTATTTAAACCATCAAATAGTAACAATTAGATCAAAATGTTAACTTTTCAAATTTATAAGAATTAAAATGTTTCTTTTTTATAGTGGAGGGATTAAAATAAACTTTAAAATATAATATAAAGATTAAAATATTTATTTTTATAATAAAAAGACTTAAATAAAGTTGTAGGTAATACAAGAACTTGTGATAGAGTTTAATCAATCCTCTCATGTTTACATGGAAATACAATTTGAAAAGGCTTATTTGCACCCCAAAAATATAAATAGAAAGCTTAAAGAAGCTACATTTATTATAATTAATAAAGCCGAACGTCATTGGCTATTGATGCAATTATGGTGACATCTATTATCAATTCCAAACATTTCACGGAATGGATGCTGAAACAGTTGAATTCTTGGCTCTTATCAAAGGATCATTGCTTGATACACAAGGCTGCATGAATCTCTTCTCCGGTAACCAGTTTTGCTTATCGGATCCGTTCAACTTCTCCCTAAGAGAAGCCTAAATCATGACCGATTTCCGAAATTTACGATTTTATTGCTACTTAAAACATCAAGATTCAGTCTTTCTTCTACAGCTTTTGTTCTACAGAAACTCAAAATGTCTCAAACCACTACAAACTATGCCCAAAAATTCTGGCTCTATGAAAATTGTTCCTGCAAGCTACTACCTTCTTGCCACTCAAGTCAACTACTGTCTATACTCTTCTTTCTACTTGCCTTTTTTCTACTCATTGCTACTCAAACTCCGCTTTCGGTTTGGTACCGGCTTCATTGTCACTGTAAGAGCAGTCCAATTGGGTTTCTTGACATGTCCCAACTCTAAACCTGTCTTACAGCTCGTTCGAGCAACAATTATGGTCATCGACTGGCTCTCCCATTGTGTGGATATCTAAGCCAGTAGTTTCTGTAACTCTCAAAGTTGTTTTTTCACAAGGATCCTCTCCAACAGCATAAATGATTTTGATTTTCTTCATATCAACTGTAGATTCACAATTTCAGTTTCTGTTTTGGCATTGGCTTCATTAACGGATAGATCAACTACAGGGTGAATGACTAAATCAGTAGATTCTTGATACAAGGTCTTCTTAAGCAATATAGTTCCGGGAAACACCATCAAGTTGATCTTTGTTGGCATTTTTCTTTCATCATCATCCACTGGCGTGAAGCCAAAAGCATTGGTCCACGTTTCCACTAAATTCGGAACTGCAGTTATAACCAGCTTTTCAACCTTGAATGAGATAAGCAACTAGAGGTAGCATCGATCCAGATGATGAACGATGAAAAAAATTGTCACAAAAAAAAAACATTAGTGATTATGTCTATCAACTGTTAGGAATTCACGAATTTAAAATGTTAAATTTAAGAAACAACTTGTGAATAAAGTACCCCTTCAATGACATTCATGAGCCGTCGACACATTCCTTGACGACTATAGTTAGCACAAGTGGCAGTAAGAGGCATCTCTGCTACTGTTACCCCATGGATCCTAGACCAAATAGCAGAAAAGACTGAAGATTAACAGAAATGTTCACTAAATAGATCCCAAACTGATTAAAATGTTAAAATTGGAGAATGTGAGTTTGATTTTCGAAAGTTAACTTGCTAAATAAGTACTTTCACCTCAACCATCTTAATACCTTATGTTACTTCCACCTTAAACTATCTTAATACCCTATATATTCGGAGATGGGTGTAAGTGGTGGATACAAATATATTCAACTTTTTCTTAACTTTTCCATATATTGGTAGGATCCTTGAAGGGTTGTACCCTCGTACACTTGTTTGTACTTATTTTTTACTCCAAATGCATCCTATTTCTTAAAACATCACAGCAAAAGCTAAAAAGACAGATGTTAACTATTCTCCCACAAAGAAATATATGTATATATATATATAAACAAGGGATAACATAACATACTGAGTTGTTAAAGAAAGTATTGAAATATCGAACAACTCCGCACAACATCCATACTACCTGATGCATGCTACAGATATCAACATGTCATCCTTCTCCAAGACAAGAGTATAAAATCCGAAAAAATCAAGGCGTGCAAAATCCGACCTGATCATTTAGACAACAAAAGAATCATGAATCAGAAGCAGTCTTCCGAGCAGGAAATAAAAAATTACAAGCAGTGTAGAACATGTCTAAGCACTGGATGACACTGAAATGTAAGACTGCAAAAGGAAGAAATGTTGAGTAGAAATGTAAAAGCCAAGCCCATAACATTGAAGATAATAGATGAAAAAGAAATTTATAAAGAAAAAAAAAAGACAGTTTAACTCACCCCCAACTGTACAAGAGTTGGGGTATCATATCTACCCGTCCTTGGATCAACCATGGACTGAAAGCATTCTTCCATGATAGACAAAGCGACAGCCAATTTTGAGTTGCATTCTGCCTTCAGGGCAAGCCTCAGAGGGGAGTAAACTTTTTTATCTTCGTGAATACATTTAAGAAGTGTCCAAGAAAAGCCATCAAAGAGGTGATTAATCATCCCAAGACGAGAACTAAGACCTGAGTATAGCTGCAAATACCAGTGAACCTTGCATCAGAACTTAAGACAGATTGGAAAATGCCATGCCACATAAGACAAGGCACAAAGAAACCAATTCACAGTTGTAGCTAAAGCATAATGGTCAGTATCTATGCAGAAACTGTTTGCCTTTTAGGTTAAAGAAATGGCTATAAAGTGAGAGTTAAAGTATAATAGATCATTCAAAGCCAAGATCTTTTATAATGGCAGGATGGAACACTTCAGTTGACATGAATTGCATACATTGTCAAATCCAAAAGCTGAGATGCAGTCTCGCTAAAAATGCAACATTTTTTAACGGAAATAAGTATAATTAAACAAAAGTTAGCCTATTGGACAGAACAAAATTGAAGTCCAAAATGGAAAGCAAACAAGATAAGGAGCAGAGCTTTAAACCGACAATAACAAGACCAAACCAAAGAAATAAGCTGTGAAGACAGAAGATCATAAATAGTCACAAAGACAAAAACATTTAGAAATTTCCCTTATTACCCAACAAAAGCTGCAAAAACAGCATTTATAATGCAGCTTATGGAAAACAATCGAAGTGCAGCTTTAAAGGCCAATTTTCTTTCAAGTGCAGTCATGTCTATCCAGCTCAACTACATCTTGCAGTGGAATGAGGAAATGGTATTCAATCCCACCACACTTACTGAACTGTTGATTTAATAAAGATTGAAGTGTTGAAATCATGTAAAGAATACTGAGGCATTTTCTATATGCTAATTCAACAGATTCTTTGCAACACAATCGGAGTCAAGAAGTTTGAGTCTAAAAAATACCTCCGCACAGCTTTCCCCACAAAGCCAAGAATTAGAAACCTTTTCTTTGGACAGGCTTTCATCATTCAAGCATTCTTTATGATCTGTTTACAAACATTGTGATAAACTAGAAAATCAGAATTGGCAATAACCAGAGAAGCATAGTAAACGCACACACAAAGACAAAATATTTTAAATGGTAAATATGTATAATGTCCATAGAGATTTAATGAAACTACTACATTAGGTCGTGGAAGTAGATTTACAATTTCTAATGTTTTCATGAAACAAAATAGACTAACATTTTCTTTGAACGGACTTTCCTTTGTTTTGCTCACTGAGAAAACTAAATCAAGAAACATAGGAAAAAATATCTTTCAATAGCCTACCTCACATCTCAAATAAGACTATTTGTCCAAATTATATGTCAAGAAACTGTATACTGTCTGTCTTTTGAGGAAAAATACAATGATCTTTATTCCTCATGGAAGGATTCCTATATATACATGTACTGTTTCCCTAAATAACAGAATTAATAAATAAATAAAAGAAATTAGCATGCTGAAGGATTCATATATATACATGTACTGTTTCCCTAAAATAACTTCAAACATCCTGTTTTCTAACACTGTCTTCACAAATAGTTTAACCTTTTCATAGGAAATGGCATGCTGAAGGTGGGAAATTACATTTGTGTTCACACTGGGAACATTTGAATGCCCCAAACAAACTTGAAGCCTCTTCATCATTAACAAAATTCCCACATTTCCAACAAGTGCAATTTGAGCAATACCAATCACCCTCAGGTAATTCCTGGATGAAACAAATTGAAGCAAATGAAATAATTAGATGCTAAAATAAAAAATATATACTAAAGCAACATTCTTGGAAAGAAAGAGGGAAAAGAAAGTCATAGTAATCTTTATTCACTCCATAATACAGAAGCAAAAGCAAGTCATAAGCACTGAGAGAAAATACTACACAACCTTACGAGAAGGGAAAAAGAATCATTTTTCACTAGTAGTTACAAGCTAGGTGTAGGTCAGTGCAAAAAAAATAACATTGAGCAAAGGACAAACCTGCACAGACAAGCAAGCTAGATGAAAAGTAGAAGGGCAATTGTCACAACAAATCAGCTCACCACCATCTCCACCTAGACCACAGGAATCATCATTTTCGACAACTTCCACCTTCTGGATCCCATTTTTTTGGTCTTGTACTCGGCAGACCATGCTTGTAGCTGACATTTAGTGAAAGGCTTACCAGATTCCATGTAAAGATTCAAGCAGGAATCTTAAACTCAGAAACTGATAGCACATTGTTGCAACAATTGCAGGTTATTCCATCCCAGGAAAGAAAACCGTCTTTAATGATAACATCATCCTTAGGGTTCCGATATTGAATGACATCATTCAGTGAAATGACCCCGGCTAGGATCAACCATGAGAGCACCGTTTTAGATCCAACATTATACAACTTGATTTCAGTAATATGCTTCCCTCCATTACCCTTTCCTCGAGGAAGCGACATCGGCCGGCCCCTCTTTCTCTTGAGCTTGGTCTGAGCTCTAACTTTTGGGGGCTTCAGTCTAGATCTGGTAGCACCCAAGCTTAAGTCTGTGTTTCTTATAATAGCAGAAACCAGCAGGTCATCATCTCGGATTTAGCTTTTAGTTGATTTCTTCTTTCTACTTTCGGAACCATCACACTTACCACAAACCCTTTTAAACTTCGAGCCTTTTTGCTCCACATGATGTAAGAAAGGCCCAAGAGATGAAGCCTTTTCTAAGCTTCCCTCGGGTTCAAGCAATACTTGGACCTCTTTTGAGTTTAATTCAGCCTGCCATGAGCCAATATCTTGTTCACTCATATCAAGAGTAGAACATAGAACATCACTTTGGTATGCTGTGGTCAATCTTATTTCAGATATATTTTGACATCTCCTGTGTGCCTTCTTTTCCAAAATGGCCTCTTGTGCACAATTTTTATGATCTGTTTCGAACTTCAGAGCTTCAGCAGCATGGGCGGACCCAGGGGTTGTCAGGGGCTACCCCTCAAATTGTGAGGAACATTGATTAAATGATATTATTTTAGTATTTTTATATATATATTTTGTGATTTTTAGGTAGAATATCCATATTTCAGTTAAATTCTTATAGAAAAAAAATTTTGTGCAATAAAATTGTCTACTTAGTGTTATTTTTTTTTAATTTTTCTAATTAATACAAGTATCACCTTTAATATTGTGTAACCCCTAAAAAAATTTATAAGAATTTTTTTATGTAACCCCTGAATTTTTGTCTTAGGTCCGCCCTGGTTCAGCATACTTCTTGAATTGATCTTTATCATCCCCATACTGAATCAGGCTATCAGTAGGGTAGTTTGAATGGTCATCCTGTAAATGCTGTGGAAGATTTCCAACATTGCCAGCATTTAGAGCTGCTGATTTTTTATTTTTTTCCTCTAGAGAATCAACTGATACATCTCCTGGAACCTCGTTAGGAATTTCGACATCGCACAAAGACATTTGTTTACCTGAGCTTGGAGAAATTGTGTTGCTATCTTGGTGAGGAGAAGTAGATTCCAAACCCTGAAGCATGTCATCGCCAGAAGCAACATGATCAATGCATTTAAAACTACATGGCTGGTCATTAGGTGTTATATGATCCACAAGCATGGGATGAAGCCATATGCAAACCTTTAACCTGGCCTCGTTAAAAGAAGCTGATAGTTATTAGTCAATTATTTCATTTGGTAATAGAATAATCAGGGGCTTAGAATGTAGAACCCTTTCTCTTTCTCTAAGATTTCTATGTTGCTTATCCATTGATTCATTTTGTAGTGTTGCCTGGTTGGTTGGGCTCTAATACTGGTATATACAATTGGTGGATCTGTTGTTGCTCATGGCGTTTCGCCTAATCTGGTTTAGCAATCTTCCTTATACTTCTTTTCTTTTTCTTTGGCTAGATTTGTCTGGATCAGAGGAGCAGTGAGCTGCCTTATTTTGTTTTCTATTTATATTATCCCTTTTTTGCATCAAGGCTGCTTTTTGAAGGTGAAGATTGTCTACCATCTTTTCTAGCTCGTAAACATTTTCCCATACTTGATATTATGGTGGATCCATGTGCTATAGTTCTAACTCTCATTGTGACTTTGCTCTTGCGCTGTGGAATCAAGGAGGTGCATTCTATCTCCTTCCATTTTCGCTTCATTTTCCATGAGTATGGCTGATACTCCTCATGCTTTGCACCTTTAAACTAAAACGTGCCGGCATGTCTTGAGTAGAGTGCATTGGCATAAGGCATTGCAATGGCTGGAAATGTATTTGCCATGCTTTTTGTCATAATAGCTGGTGGTTACTTGGATTTCAAGACTGGATGGACCAGATATGAACTTCCTAATGGCTATTTTCCCTTTAGGTGGATGGAATGCTCGCTGGGTCTGCAACAGTCTTCTTTTCTTATATTGGCTTTGACACATTTGCTAGCACTACCAATGAGGTATATAGTTTCTTTTCTTCTGCCTGTCTGCCCTTTATTTAAATCAATATTTTCTGGTGATCTAAGGAACTTGAAACCATGCACGACAGGCGAAGAATCCCAAACGAGATTTGCCATTGGGTATCACATTATCCCTAGACATTTGTTGTGGGTTGAACATGCTGGTTTCTGTGGTGATTGTCGATCTGGTCCCCTATATGCAATGGATCCTGACACCCGCATCTCTTTTACATTTGCTGACAATGGGTTGCAATGGGTAGCGCGAGTTTTCTCAGCGCATCTAAAGTGTCTGTACTTTTTATAAACCTTTATACTCAAGGGACCCTACTATTTTAGTTATATTATAACCGTTGGAGCTGTTACTTCCCTTATCTCTACGTTGATGGGCTCAATTCTCCCTCATGTACAAACTCATGGGATCTGATAGCATTTTCATTCAATTATGACTTCTTAGTGCTGATATAAACTCGTTAATTATGCGCTTGTGTATATATGTTAACATAGTGACATTTATCATATTCTTAATTATTTCTTTTGAGGATTCACTAATATGTTGTTAGAACTTAACCTACTCGTCATCTTAACTTGTAGAATAGCACCTTAATCTACATGATTGACCATAGATATTGATATTTTATTGTATATGTTTATTTACTTAATTGCGTGTTTTCAGCCTCAAATTCTAATAGCAATGGTTAGAGATGGATTGTTGCCACCCTTTTTTCGGATGTTAACAAAAAAACCCAAGTTCATGTCAATAGCATGCTGGCAACTGGTATAGTTGCTGCTATCTTGGCATTCTTCATGGATGTTTCACAATTGGCAGGGATGGTAAGTTCATCACAAAATTTGATGCTACATTGTATATATGAACCAGGCACCTCTGGCTCGAGCTTCACGTTTATTAAAAGTTCCTTGAATGCATTTGAATGGCCTAAAACTTGTCTTTCTTTTGGAAGTTAGTGTGGGTACACTTGTTGCATTTATGATGTAGCAGTTTCTTTGCTGATACTTAGATATGCCCCACCTTACGAGGTGCCAATTCCATCATCGCTTCAGGATTCGATTGAGTCTTACATGCTAGAACATGATAGAGATACTCAGGTGATTAGTGGAGAAGACCCGGAGATACTTGTCGGCCTTTACGTGGAGACAAGAATGTTGCAGTTAATGTTCCCATTGTTGAAAAACAAGAAGCTCTATCATGTAGTAAGTTCCCTACCTTTTCTGTGTAATCCGAGGGTCGTGGAGAGCCATATCTTTATGCTCGTGCCTGAATATGTGTCGGACGGGAGAACCTGAAAAACCAAGAGTATGAGCAATGTAGATTATTAGTTCCTGAATATTGGTTATCATCTTGTAATTGTTATTGCAGGTACCCTCAATGAAGAGAACCGAAGGAAAATCGCTGGCTGGACCATAATGTTAGTATGTGTAGCGGCATTTATACTTACATTTGCAGCTTCAAATATGTGGCTTTTAAGGTAGGCCGATCAAGAAAGCATTATTGAACTACATTTATTAAAAAATAAACAAAAAAATCAATGATAAATGGAGGGCTCAAGCAATTTATCGATCTTACTAATCATTATGCTTTTCACCATCATCATAAATTAGGCAAAGGGGAGGGGAAAATTCTTGATACTTCATAGGGTTGAATATCTTTATCTTGAATGTTTTTTTCAAATGAATCTGATAATTTATTTTCTCATTTGATTCGATGGTCGCTGGCATCTTCCTCTAGCCTTCTTCGGTTCACGATGTTTGGTACCGACGACATTTTTCTTCTCGGTGGCTTGATTACTCTCACCTGTATTGATCAAGACAATGAAAGGCATACGTTTGGAAATTCAGGAGGTATGCTACAACACTCATATTTCAGTTTGTTGTTTCTGGCCATCTCATTTCGACTAATCTTTTATGATTTCATCTATTTATGCATGCTTGAATTTGACCTGATATCAATAACATGTATATGTATACGTATGTATGAATGTATTTCAGGTTTCATATGCCTGCCAATTGCCAACATTCTAATCAATATCTACCTACTCATTAATTTGGGGAAAGCATTAACCAGGACTATTCTTTCTCTTATTTTCACATTGGCATTCTTCTCATATTATGTTGTTTGAAACTGTCAGGGTTGCAACCTGGTTTCGGGTTTTGGTTTGGAACAATGGTAGGGGTTCTGATTTACGTATTCTACGGTCGTAGACACAGTTTGCTGCTAAATGCGATCTATGTGCTGAAAGCACACGCGGATGAAATTTATCGCTCCTCCAGGGAGTGTACGTAGTATAATCGAACACCTTGTATGAAAAAGGGAAACAAAATGAAGACTACATTTTGCAGAACTAATGTTTGTTGGTCATAGTTCTGGAGAAGAATCACAATGTTATCTTTGTAAATTTATTTATTCAGGATATGGCCTTAAACTTGTTTGTATATCTACACATATTTCCTTAAGATGAGAGGATTCTGTTGCAAAATGTAAAGAATTATTAGAAATGTCAATTGCAGATTTCCATCTTTCTCCCAATTATGCAATGCTTGTCATCTTTCTTTTAGTCATAAAAATACACTTTATAATAATATAAACACGATAATAACGAATAAAAAATAATCATAAAATAAAATATATCAAAATTTAATTCGAAGAATCATTTTTTACGAAAAATCACATGTAAAAGAAAAAAAATTCATTAGGTCAAAAAAAGTACAAAATTATTTATATCTAAATGTGATTTAGGATTAAATCAACTTACTTCTAAATCTTACTATGTAATATTTATTTATAAAGATATATTTCTCATTTACAAAATAAACTTTGCATAAAAAGAAATATACTCAAATTAAATTCCTCACTTTGTTACTATAGATTTTAAATTTTATTTTAAGAGAAGTTTTTCTAATCATTTTATCTAATAATTTTTTTTTGGATAAAACAATTTTAAGAAAACAAATACTTAACTAACTCAAATTTGAAAGGCACAAGCCATTGAACTTTCTTCTTTCTAAACCCAATCAAGCTTGTTCTCACGTCAACATCCCATATTAACAACTATTAACAAGGAACAATTGATTTATTATAAAATTGATAATATTAGTAATCAACTTGTTATTTTTTGAAATTTTAATGAGAAAGACAAAAAATTTCTCAAACTTTATTGA